ACAGGAAAGGGAAACCCCCCCAAAAAACATAATAGGGCCCCTTTAAGGTGTATGTTGCATCACTGCTCACTGCTTTGAGGTACGTTATTAAGGGAATAGTTTGACAGTGTTGGAGAACATGTTCATTTGTATTCCTGTCTCGAGTTACATGAGAAGATTGATACCACAGCGTAAATTAGCCTAGCTTAGCATAAAGACTGGAAGCAGAGGGAAACAGCTAGCATGGCTCAGCCTAAAAGTATATAAAGCAAACAGTTCAAAAGTACCTCAAAATATCACTAATTCATAAATAATACATTACATTCATAAAACAGATACATAAAAGAGACATGTTGTTGTATCCAGGCAACAGGTTCTCTGCTGCCTAGCAACCTCACATCATAGCCTTGAAGTTAAACCAGATTAAACTGGTGTAAATAATCCTCTGTTGTTGGGTAACATAGAGATTAATTTATACCTCTGTCAACATAGTGTTGCTTTTGGTCCGGTTTGTGGACGTGTCTGTGTGTTTGTCAGCAGGATAACAGGAACACTAACAGCTTTTCCTGGAACTTCGTTTAGTATGCAAGAAAGAACTTATATCATTTTGGACGGATCCGAATCACAGGGAGCATACACGCATAATTGTTCCCTTGCCGCAGGTTTGTGCTATCCAAGTGTCATTCTAGTTACATAAGTGTACATGTTGTTTTTATTTAGATTTAGCTCACAGCGATAGGGGCTTTGCTGCGACGTTCTGAGTAAACTGAGACATTTCACAGGTGGAGAAAACTAACTCAGGCTATACAATTAGTTTTATTCAAATCGACTTGCCCCTAAATTGTTTCATTTATCATTGGTTTTCAAGGAACAACTTGGACTTAAATGTTTAGTATTTATTTAAATGCGTTATTCTCTGCAAAATTCCCTGAAATCTTTGACGAGTAAACTTTTATTTTGGACGCTTTTGCCCACATTGCTGGACATACCTATGGTCCGAACAATATCTCATGAACCTGGGATTCATTAACTTAATGTTTAAGTGCTGCAAGGCCAGTTCACCACATGTTCTCCTTTTATAAGCTTTAATGATTAACTAATGACATCCTGTCACCTGATGATTAGCATGGCATCGATCCTCTCATTTCACACCAAATAAATGTATGCATTTCTCAAAATGTTGAACTATTCCTTTAAAGTGGACCGAACCGTAGAACCCAAGGCTTTATTACAGTAATAATGGCTGGTTCATCTGCATTCATTCAGTTTTACCCATCACATAATTATGCAGTGCACTGGTCTGAGGTCAGATTTAACCTCCATGATACTGAATCAGGAGGATGAACCTGACCGGAGACCTGCGCCTGAACGCATCATGGAGAAAGGAGGAGGAGGTAGAGGGGGCGGGACTTGCCTCCCACGGGGGCAGCGAAACACGTGGCCACTCCCACGGCACACGCACACACCAACAGGTCCTGGTTACGGGTCCCACTCTGGGGTTAAAGGTCACAGACGAGCAGGGGGGAATGAGGAGGAGGGGGAGATAGAGAGAGCAGGGGGAGGGAGAGGGGGGAGGTTACTGTTAATACACATGCCAGACATTACCATCACACTATTAATACAGTGAGACATCAACAGAGAGGCGGTGCGAGAGGGCGAGCCAAAACAAAGACACGAGAAACATGGAGGGAGGGAGGAAGAGGGGGAGACAGATGGGAGAGTCACAGGGTTCCCACTTTCACTTCAATATTAAATTCAAAGTCCTTTTAGGGTAAAAATTGGCACGTTTTGTTAACTAAATCCCTGTAGGAGCCTTATTTGGAGTTAAAAAAGGGGAGGAATTGGTTAAAAAATGTTGCTTTGATAGAAAAACGTTATATATTTCTCAAGGTCATCCAAATATTTTCAAAATAAAACTGAGACACTGCAGCTCTGGGACACTGGAAGTAGTCATACTTGTGTTTAGTAGGTAACATTTTACAATTTGTATCACCTTAATTCACTTGAGAGTTGACTAAGATGCATTTCATTAGCAGTGGTGGGTGAGTATTTTCAATGTATGCTACTTTACTACATTTTAGATGCCAATATTGTATTTTTTACTCCAGTACATTGGCTTTTAATTAATGACGTTTTAAAATGGCCTCATTGTATCATGTTTTTTACGTTCCACTATGTCTTCATGCTTTAAATCTTTGAGTCACAAGTCATTACAATATACTGGTTAATTGTGAATATGTGCGAAAAACTGACTCCCATGGCTTTAAGGTCCTGTGGGAACCGTGTGATTTCACCATAAACATCAGCAACAAAGCAAGATATCATGTAAAAACTGCAAACCACATCTTCATTAACTGCATGCGGTGTGTTTTGGTCAGGGCCTCGGCTTACCTCATACACTCCGGAGAAGATGGACATGAACTGACTCAGCACTGCAGCACAGATACTGGCGATGTGCACGAACGGACCCTGGAGGGTAAACAGAAATATCATTAACGTAATCTGAGAGTCACAATATACAAGTAATACAACCGGATTACTTTCTGTTACTTTTGGGTTACCTGCAATGCAAGACATATCAATGAGAAGTGATATTATGTAAGACAACAGAACAATGTGACCTTAGAAAAGAAGAAACCAAGATGTTTAGTATTGATAGGAAAACCTGCCTTTCATTAAAACATATTCAGGCAGCAGCCTATACACCAACAATGAAACACATGAGCACATACTACAGTTTAAAAAAGCAGAAATAACATCTGACCTGAAACAACTGAAACGTTGACTTTATTTAAATGTATTATGTCTGGTTTTTAACCAACATTATTCATAGTAATCCTGCCAGAGATGTATCTGTAACTTTAAAGGTCACCTATTACACAAAATCCCCTCTTCTTCATGTCTCTTCTACATCAACATGTGTCCCCTCTTCTTCATGTCTCTTCTACTTCAACATGTGTCCCCTCTTCTTCATGTCTCTTGTACATCAACATGTGTCCCCTCTTCTTCATGTCTCTTCTACATCAACATGTGTCCCCTCTTCTTCATGTCTCTTCTACATCAACATGTGTCCCCTCTTCTTCATGTCTCTTCTTCATCAACATGTGTCCCCTCTTCTTCATGTCTCTTCTACATCAACATGTGTCCCCTCTTCTTCATGTCTCTTCTACATCAACATGTGTCCCCTCTTCTTCATGTCTCTTCTACATCAACATGTGTCCCCTCTTCTTCATGTCTCTTCTACATCAACATGTGTCCCCTCTTCTTCATGTCTCTTCTATATCAACATGTGTCCCCTCTTCTTCATGTCTCTTCTACATCAACATGTGTCCCCTCTTCTTCATGTCTCTTCTTCATCAACATGTGTCCCCTCTGTGGAAAGAGACTCTGAAAGTTTCAGGAACAAAGATTCTCTCTCTTTTTGTCCTGATCCATTTATATAAAAACCTGTCTGAAAATGAGCTGATCAGATTTTGGCCACTTTATGATGTCATAACGATGTTTTGTCTTGTGTAACCATTAGCCAATCACCAACCAAGGTAACCCCCCTCCCCACCTTATCACCTGAATCTCCTCCTAGAGCACATTGTGTTCTTTGTAACCAAATCTCTCTCAGAGGGGCGTGGGGAGGGGCTCCTTATTTTCATCTGAAGTAACAGACAGAGAATCAGCACTTTTGAAACAGAGGGGATTATGGGATGCTGCAATGATCTGTTTGGTGTTTCAGCCAATCAGAGACAGGTTCTGTATATATCTGAGACCTATAATATATTGATGAAAAACAGTGTAATAGGGGACCTTTAAAGTATTAGCCTACAGAATAGTGCAGTTTACAAAGAAGAAATACAATCTGATCCTTTTACAACAAACACGATATGCCCTTTTTAGTTTGTTACCAACATTAGAATCCTGCCAGTAATCCTACATTTTGAGAGATGTATCAGTAACTGTCAGGGAATACAGCTAGCTCATTTTGCCTCCTGATTATGTAATATCGTTACATGTGATCCCCACGTCTGAACCTAATGACACACAGGTGATGTAATACACACACAGACGCAGATCACATCTCTACGTGGACGTGTTGAATCACAGCAGATGCATCACGCTGTAATTGCTGGATTTGACAGTTGCCCTGTGACGGTAATGGGAGAAAATGAATGTGTTTCCTTTGTTGGGGAATAATTTGCTTCAATCCCGTGAGAGGCCGGGAAGAGAGGAAACACGACAGAAGATGATTTATTACCCTCTGAGCTCAGAGCAGATGCAGTGATGGAGGAAGGAGGGAAGAGAGAGGAAGAAGGATGGTGGGGAGGATGCTGGATCTGTTATCTGTGAATCTTTAATGAAAAAGGGGGTTTGTGTGTTACCTCTTTTCCGACTGGCATCCCGCTGCCGAGGCCGGCCGTCAGCCCGACCACTTTAGCCACGAAGGCTTTGAGCGTCAGATACTCTTTCAGGACCACTCCTCTCAGGATGGTCTTCAGCTCGGGGATACCAGAACCTGAGGGGCAAGGACGGCGTGTTTATAAAGGATTTCAACAACAAGGCAATTCAAAAGGCTTAATAGAAAACATTAAAAGCGTTAAAGGCCACCTATCATGCAAAGTTTAGGCAATAGCATAGGTCTCAGATATATAAAAATATATAAAAAACATGTCTATGAAGTGTTTTGCTCAAAATACCAAACAGATCACCCATTCTAGCCATGCCTCATATCCCTCTGTTTCACTTCCTGTTACAAAAGTGCTGATTCGGGGTGAAAAGCTTTAAAAAATAAAAAAGGAGGGGGCTGAGCTCATGCGGGACCCGGCAGCTACTGTCTAAACTAAATACTGCCGTGATGAAACGCCATATCATGGATTATCAAGGATTATTTCTGAAACAGTATGGAGCTCAAAGGCTTTCTCTCTTGCCGGTTATACCACAAGGTGAGTTCCTTTTTATTTCCTGCTTCTTCACACACATGCTCTCCAGTACAGGTTAGCTCTGAGTGTTAGCGATGCTAATGTAAACACCGACCATATTACGTCCAAAACAGTCGGGCATTATTTCTGATAACAACTTTCTGATAGGGCCGTGGGTCCACCACGTGGGTGCCATCCGATATGACGTAAATAACGTTGCATCAGCTTGTGTAGCCCCGTTTTTCAAAGATTTGCGCACGGGGGAAAAGAGAGAGGGTAACTTTGTGAGTTCCCTGACGCACCGGGGACACATATTTATGTATAAAAGACATCAAAAAGTGCATTTTGCATGATAGGTCCGCTTTAAGACATCTTGAAAAAGAAAAACACTGCAAAATGACATTTAAATCTTTAAAAACAACCCTTAAAAAAACTAGAACACAAACAAAACAATCTTAAATAGAGTATGACAGGTATACAATACAAGAATAAAAAGTTACAGTGCAGTGTAAGATATAAATAGTTATTTGGTTTAATTACAGGCAAACAGAAAGCAACAAGAAGGGAGGAAGAGACTGACGGATGATTACATTACATTACATGACACTTGTTAGACACTTTTATCCAAAGCGACTAACATACTCAATACTGTGGGCAATCCCCACAGGAGCAATTTGGGGTGAAGTGTCTCAGGGACACAACGACATGCTGACTGCAGTGGGGTTTGAACCTGTGTTCCCCTGATCCCAACACCAACGCACCCACCACTGCACCACACGCCTCCCATGGATGATAGGTGTAGTAAATAAACAAGTGGTTATAATGCCCTGTGTTAGGGAGTAGTAAACATGTGATTAAATAAGTAGGTTGAATACAATCTAGAAGTAACTTGCTGTAAGGTAAACAACACTTATATTTGCAAAGTGTTTAAATAAGTTGAATTACTTTCTTGTTTTTTTTTAAGCGATAATATCTTTAATTTTAAGGTATATTTAAGGTATAAAAGCAGCAATAGCAATAAGCGTGAAACCCAGAATAGCACTGATAAGGGGTTAACACAACACAATGAATAAAAGAATACAAAATATAAGTATGACGACAACAAAAAAGCAGTGAGAAGGCGGCCTTATACGTCTCCATTGTTGTTTACTGAACTTCTAAAATGACCAATAATTGTGGGCCATAAAAACAAAGGAATATTTTTTTTTTACCATTGCTAGTGTGATTGGACCCGCTATATTTTGTATTATAATGCATTGCAATAAACTCAATTAAGTGGCATTTTTGCTGTTGTGTTATTTTTACTGTATCAGTGTAAAATGGTCACTCTCAATATGACCATGTCTGAACTGCTTTTTCTAAGTAGCATCACTTAACCAAATTAAACATCTCCCTAGAGAAGCTCGGCAGCAGTTCGTCTTCTTCAGAGTGAAGTAATTGGTCGCTCGCAAAGCTATAATTTGGAGGACGCTTCCCCACTGATAACACCTCTAACCTGCCGCAGGAGAACAGATAAAAGGAGGTGAAAGCAGGTGCAGCAGGGGGGGGGGGGGATAAGAGAGGCTGACAGCTGATGGAGAGCTCACCGATGGCCTGTGGAGAAACCAGGTGACAGAAGAGCGAGGCGAACATGATGAGGATCATGGGATACGTGACCCAGGCGAGGTACTGCAGCAGCACGTTGTCCTTCAGCTCCACGTACACCCACTGATAGGCTGAGGAACAGCACAGAGCACACAGAGCACAGTGCATTACACACAGGAGTAGAAAGGAGTAATTACTTTTTATTCCATTCTATTTCTATGCAAATACTGCAATATTGTACTATATATTTTTAATTATTTAATGGTATTTTGTATGTATGCACCATGACATCAAGTCAAATTCACCTGGTAATAAGCCTGTTTCTGATTCTGATTAAACGTTAAATCTAATGTTATCAAACTCATTAATAAACTCTATGACCTTGACATGTGGTAGCTTCAGGTGTGATATCATTCTGTGTAGGAAAAATTCCTCGATTTTTTAAAAACTCTACACGCAAACACTCTTTGTTTGTATTTTAATTTATTTGTATTTATTTGTATTTTATTCAGACTTGTGTTTAATGACGATGCTTTTGTGTATGAAAAGTACTATATCAATAAAGTTTGATAGATTGTTTGACAAATAATCTCACTTATGTAACAGTATGTTTCATAATGGAGACATGCACATAGATTGAACCAAACTAAATTCAACATAAACCTTGTATAGAAAGGTGCGAGATAAATAAACTTGCCTTGCCTTACAAATCCACGTGAAAGATTACAAATCCCTGCCTTAATAGTGAACCATTAACACTCCGGTTGAGACCGGTTGAACCCAGAACACAGCTACCTCTTAAATTGCTTATGGTCACTTTAAAGAACACATATACTGCTACTTACCATGGTGTACTTATCTGCTGTAATTGTGTTATATTATTATTAATAATAATAATATTACACTTGTTAGACACTTTTATCCAATGTTATCGATTGAACCAGTGCTCCCCTGATCCAAAGACCATCCCACTGAGCCTCCCTGATTACCTTGCAGGCTCTTGGCGCTGGTGTAGTCCATACTCCAGCTGACCAGAGCCATGGTGAGGCCGAGCAGAACCAGGAAGATCCAGTCCTCCCCCATCTTCGTCACGATGTACCGCCGCACACGAGCAAAACAATCTGCGGCACAGAGAGCGAACTAGTGATTTAATTACTGACAGAAAGTCACATCAATATTCAGAAATGTGATGTTGTGCATAACGAGTACTTTCTGTACTCTTTCATGCAAATACTTTTTCTTCTTGTATTTAACATTTTGGATCCTGCATGGTCTTTTATCTGTAATGAAGTGTTTTAAGAGCATAGCATTTCTTCTTTTACTGAAGTCAAGGATCTGATTCCTCCAACAGTGTATGTATCTTTTAAATGGTAAATGGTTTGAATGTGTTTTTGGGGATGACTCCTTCAAGATTCAAAGATTCAAAGGTTGTATTGTCGTATGCACAAAGCTACAGTGTAGAAATGGCAAAGACATTCTTCTGACCTGAGCTCCTCCAACGATGCAACATATATAATAAAATACAAATAAAAAATAGTGCAAGAAGTCTATATACATGTCAATAGAATATGATATGTACAAAAACAGAATATGAAATTAAATACTGTAAATTAAGACAAAATTAAATACGGTTTATTGCGGCGATAACTATTTATATAAATAAGTATATTGCAAGATGACAAACAGGAATGTTTATCGGGGCACTTAACAGAGCTCAGGTGTTCTGCTGCTCAGTAAGCGTTGTTGTCGACTAACGTTAGTGAACTTAGGCCCTCGCCACACGGTGACGAAACGGGTCGTATCCGCTACAGTTCTCTATCTTATAGACGGTTCGGCCACACCAGGCCGACAGGGAAACGCCGATAACGATAACGGGTCCCAAGGTGGGTAGATCTGCGGACGCAACGCTCTTGGGGGCCAAACGGCTCCGTGATTACGCCCTATACGATAATTTCCTGATAACGTATTGTTGTGAGCTTTGCAATAATGTTTGGAAAGCTTTTAGTGTGATATACATTCGTCTTTGTGCTATATAGTTGTGACATGTAAGCACAAGGCTACCGCAACTCAAAATAATTCAAGCAAGCCAGCAACATTAAACTAGCGGTTATACATTTATTTTCTGCGTTGCTGAAGTGTTGTCCTCCCCGTTGTGTTTGCTCTATAGTTCTTCAGAATCAGTTCCTCAACTTCAGTAAAAGTTTGACTGAAGTCAAGGATCTGATTCCTCCAACACTGAATGTATATTTGGTAAAGCCTTTGAATGTTTAGTTTAGTTTATTTGTTTATAGTGTCGTGGACAGTCCCCATTGATCAACTGTCACAACAAACAGTAAATGGGGCATTAGCTTTAGCCAACATTGCTAATGTCCAGCTGTTGTCGCCGGCCGGATGATAATAGACACCTTTTTAAAATCACAATACATCAACAGCATTAATGTGTTTTTGGGGATGACTGCTGCTGCTCACCTTGGCATTTGGAGTATGGCCGAGGCTTCTTGGTGGAGGACACGTGGCTGGGATGTGACTGCAGGGATGTGGGGGGGTGGTGCCGCCGGCCCAGCCCTCTGCGGCCCGAGCTGTTCCCCCCCGCCTGCCTCTTGCATTGTCTCTCTGTCAGCAACCGTGCTGCCTCCCGTCGGGCGAAGTTCCCCAGCTGCTCCCTGTACTCGCCGTACAGCTAGAACCAGAGGGAAAGACAGTGAGGATGACTCAAAAAGCAACACACATCTCACTTTACATGAGCCTTAGTCAAAGTCAAAGTCAACTTTATTGTCAATCTTCCAGTTTGTGTGCACAGACAGAGAGATCGAAATACCGTTTCCCACAATCCCGAATAGAAAAATACAAATATATATAAAAATATGTGTGCAAATATGTATATCCTATATATACACAATCAAAGACACATTTATACATATGCACACATTAAAGGTGGGGTAGGTAAGTTTGAGAAACCGGCTCGAGATACACTTGTTATATTCCATGGAATGCTCTTAACATCCCGATAGCAATGAATATCTGAAGTGCTTTGACAAAAAATCCATAAAAAAATGTCATCTGTGGAAGCTGTAGTACTGTAAAAAGCACGACCAATCATCTGAGCCGGCCCGGCTAAAGTAACTGGATGGCCTACCTGCCTGTCAGCCTTCCATCTGTGCACAAACTTATCTCGTGCCCTCATTGGTCATGTGCGCGTTCGTGTGTGTTGGAGGAGGGGCTCTATAAGGAAGTGGCAGATTTTCTCCGGTTGTGTATTTTCAAATTCTAGCGATCTCGAGCTGGTTTCTCAAACTTACCTACCCCACCTTTAAGACCTTAAATAAAAGCACAAAAATCAATATATACAAAAATAACAGTCACTTCAATATCTTGATCGGGGGTTGTTGAGAAAGAAAACAGGATGCAAGATAGAAGAGAAGTGAAGATACCTATGACACATTTTTCAAACTGTTTTTTTTGTCATTTAGAGAATTGATTGCAGAAAATGTGGAGTGGTTTAAGACTTTGAATAATGCAAAGAAAACAACTTCTAAGGAAGAGTTTAGGAATCAATACTTGAGAAATACATCTGACAACTGAGAAAGGATTAAAGTAGGTCCAAGAAAAAAAATGCAACAAAAATCAAACTTTCACATTTTTCAAAACTGTTTTTTTTTTTTGTCATTTAGAGAATTTATTTGCAGAAAATGTGGAGACCTTGAATAATGCAAAGAAAACAACTTCTAAGGAAGAAAGAGTTTAGGAATCAATACTTGAGAAATACCTCTGACAACTGAGAAAGTATAGGTCCAAGAAAAACTCAATGCAAGAGAAGAGCAAGAAGAGAAGGAGAAATACTTTGAAAACTGAGACTTGGGAAAAGGATGAAACTAGATCCAGTGCAAAGAGTCTTGAGATAACGAGAAAGAGATTGAAAAAGACGTAAACAGTGACACTCAATATGAAACAAAATGCAAAAATAAATCACTAATTTCTTTGGCCTTCCTATGGTTGTAGAGAAGGAAAACAAGTGAATAATTGTGTCAAGAAAATAAGAAATACCTCTGACAAATGTCAAATATTTTTATTTACAGAATTTATTTGCAGAAAATGAAAACTGGTCAAAATAACAAATAATGTGGAGTGGTTTCTGACCTTGAATAATGCAAAGAAAACAACGCATAAGAAGGACTAAAACAAGATTTTAGAAGTCAATACTTGAGAAATAGTTTGAAAACTAAAACTTGGGAAATGATAAAACTAGACCAAGCTCAAAGAGTCTTAACGAGAAAGAGACCAAAGGGAATCGATAATCAATATGAGACTAAAATCAACAAGAAATCACAAGTTTCTTTGGCCTTTTTAGGATTGCATACTAATCAATATGACATAAAAAGCAACAAGAAAGTACACATTTCTTGATTCTTATAAAGTTTGCAAGGAAATAAAACAAGATAGAAGAAAAGGAGAACTACCGGGGACACGAAAGAGATGTGACCAAAGTGAAACACTGACAATCAATATGACTGAAATCAATCTGGTTCCTCTCGTCCATGCTAGATATAAGAGATGAAAAGGAGAGAAGGAGTAGTACCTCTGACAACTGAGACTTGAGAAAAGGATCAAACTACATCCATAGCAAGAAAGAGATGTCACCACAGGTAAACACGAACAATCTATGAGACCCTATATTGCCGTATGTGAGTATACCCTTTAATTTGTCTTTATCTGCAGTTCACGCTCCTCTTTTCTGTAACAACGTGGGGTGCTTAAAGGATTTCTGATTCTGATCAATATGATACAGAAAGCAACAAGAAATGACATGTTTCTCTCAGACCAGATCTACTTGCGAAGAGTCTTGAGATAGAACCAATCATTATTACCCAAAAATCACTAAGAATTTACAAATGTCTTGTGTCTATAGGGTTGCAGGGAACGAAGACCAGACAGAAGAGAATAAGAGCTGAGAACTGAGTCTTTGTGAAAGATAAAACTATCCAGTGCAAAGAGTCTTGAGATAAACAGGAAAGAGATGAAACCAAAGGGAAACAATCAATCTAACACAACATCTGCAAGAAATTATACATACTCAGATTGTATAGGAACTTAAAGGTCACCTATCATGCTATTTTTAGGCAATAGCATAGGTCTCAGATATATCAAAAATATATAAAAAACATGTCTATGAAGTGTTTTGCTCAAAATACCAAACAGATCACCCATTCTAGCCATGCCTCATATCCCTCTATTTCACTTCCTGTTTCAAAAGTGCTGATTTGGGGTATAAAGCTTTAAAAAAATTAAAAAGGAGGGGTCTGAGCTCATGCGGGACCCAGCAGCTACTGTCTAAACTAAATGCTGCCGTGATGAAACGCCATATCATGGATTATCAAGGATTATTTCTGAAACAGTATGGAGCTCAAAGGCTTTCTCTCTTGCCGGTTATACCACAAGGTGAGTTCCTTTTTATTTCCTGCTTCTTCACACACATGCTCTCCAGTACAGGTTAGCTCTGAGTGTTAGCGATGCTAATGTAAACACCGACCATAGTACGTCCAAAACAGTCGGGCATTGTTTCTGATAGCAACGTTTCTGATAGGGCCGTGGGTCCACATTTCAGATATTACGTCATATCGGACGCAAATCTGGATCAGCTCCGTTGTTCCCCCGTTTTTAGAGATTTGGGTACGGAGGAAAAGAGAGAGGGTTTTATTTTCTGACGCTGCGTGAGTTCCCCAACACACCGGGGACACATAGTTATGTATAAAAGACATCAAAAAGTGCATTTTGCATGATAGGTCCCCTTTAAACAACATGCAAGAGAAGAAGAAAGGGAGAAATATGTCTTCTAACTGAGACGAGGTGGAAGGATAAACCTAAATCCAATTGCAAAGAGCCTTGAGATAACAAAAAAGAGATGTAACCAAAGAGAAACACACTGACAGTCAATGACAAAAAACAGAGAAATCACACATTTCTTGGGCCGCCTCAGGGTTTCAGAAAAGGAAGACAAGACGCAAGAGAAGCAGGAAAAATACCTCTGACAACTCAGCCTTGGGGGAAAGGATAAAACCAGATCCAGTCCAACGAGTCTTGAGATAACTGACAATCAATATGACACAAACATCACAGAGAAATCACACGTTTCTTGGGCCTACTCAGGGCTGCAGGGAAGTACAACAAGATAAGGGAGAGAGACAGCTTGAAGAGAAGGAGAAATATATCTTACTAGTGAGACTAAGGGGAAGGATAAAACCAAATCCAGTGCAAAGAGTCTTGAAATAATAAGAACGAGCTGAAACCAAAAAGGAAACGGTGACAAAAAGCATCAAGAAATCCTTGATTGATTTGGTCTACTTAGGGTTGGAGGGAAGTACATCAAGAAAGAAGAGAAGAAGAAGAGAGAGACATTTACTTTGGAAATGAGGGTAAGTGTTATCGAGATACAGTAAACAAGATCTAGTGAACCGCGCCCCTTAGCTGTGATATAATGAGCATATACCACGGCCTGTCGTGAGCTATTGCTTAATTAGATAATGTGAAAGAGATTGAAACAAATGGAAACACTGACACTGACTGTGATACAAAAATCGTCAAGAAATAACACTTTCGTTGGGGTTGCAGGGAGGTAGAACTAGATAGAAAAGAAGCAGTGTGAAGACTAACTGAGACTTGTGGGAAGGTTAAAACCAGATCCAGTGCAAAGAGTCTAAAGACTGAACCAAAGGGGAACGATGACAATCAATATGACACCAACATCTCTGAGAAGTCACACGAGTCTAGGGCCGAAAGTTGCAGGGAAGGAAATCTAGACAGAAGACAAGAAAACTGACACCTGAGAGAAGGATAAAACCAGATCCTGTGCGAAGAGTCTTGAGATAACGAGAAAGCGATGGGGAATGTGCGGCGTGTGTGTAAGGGATACACACCAACCTGAATACCCTGGCGGACAGGAATAGACGAAACGGGCATAGAGATCGGAAAAACCCCCTCCCCGAGAGGAGGCTGGAGAGGAGCCAGAGGAGGAGATCCTGGAAGAGAGGACATTCCACATCTTCCCCTTCCGACTATGTGCACTCTTTAAACATGCAACCACACACGCACACGCACACGCACACGCACACGCACACGCACACGCACACGCACACGCACACCACACACACACACACACACACACACACACACACACACACACACACACACACACACACACACACACACACACACACACACACACACACACACACGCACACACGTATAGAAAACACGACACATGATAATCCAGGGCGATCAGTTTGCACAGCCAGCGCTCGTTAAAACCATAGGGGCCGTAAAATACTGCAGATCCAGGAGCAGCTATCAGTGGGAGGAAGTAACTAAGTACATTTACTCAAGTACTTTTTGGATATATTTGTACTTTACTTTAAGTATTTGCATGTTATGCAACTTAATACTTGTACTCCACTACATTTCAGAGCCGAATATGGTTCTTTTTACTCCACTACACTTAGTTAGTAGGTACTTTGTACACATAAAAACACATGATAAGTTGTATAATGCAGTACTGTCATTTTCATAGTATTACTAGTATATTAATTTGGCTACAATACTAAACAGACATATATTAACCTTAATAATATAATACTATGATCCATTCTGCATAGCAAGTATTTTTACTGTCCTTATTTAGCTGATAAT